TGCTAACTCCACCGCATCATTATCACCAAGTGGATCCACCCTGACATTCGCAGCTTCTTCTTGGGCCATTTCTATGGTATGTCTGCGAATCGCTTCGGATGCAGGTGTAAAGAAATTGAAAAAGTGTTGCAGAGGTGTATCGTGAGCAACAAAGGAATTCACACTTGGAATATTTTGATTTTTCATAAACAAGTAGGTGAATCGAATAATGTCAAAAACCCACGGTTTGCCCGCATTCCAAGGATCCCAATTAATTTTCGCTAGTTTGAAAACTTTTCAAATCATCCGCCAAAACTGTCTTTTCAACACCCATAATGACCTGTCGTTTCATTTCTGATCTAACGCCTAATCTCCCCCCCTCGCGGGATGTTGCCACGTGTACGACCACGATCCACTGTCTCCTCCCCTTACCCTGTCTTTTCCACTTCAAATCACCACATGACACGCCGCCTCTCGAGCCCCACGCCCCTCCACCTCACCCTTCGCGGTCGACCCTCCTCGTGGTCGACCCTCCCACTCGGCCACCCTTCGCGGTCGGCCCTCCTCGTAGTTGACCCTCCCACTCGGCCAACCTCTATGGTCGGCCCCCTTCGTGGTCGCCCCTTCTTGTGGTCGACCCTCCCACTCGGCCAACCTTTGCAGTCGGCCCTCCTCGTGGTCGGCCCTTCCACTCGGTCACCCTGCCGGTCGACCTCCATCCTGCCAATCCCTAACACCCTCATCTTCTTCATTAGTATTCCCTTCGTTGGACTAAAGTTGCACTCGAGAATGGGGGACTACTGACGTGTATAAGCCCATAAAGGCTATGAATCACTATGAACAACCCAAGCTCATCACTTGAAGCCCAATACATAACACATCTGGTGAGGTCCAGGACAGTTGGAATCCAACATGGCATAAAGAGCCAATGACATTCAGACACATGGCAGGTGAAGGACGAGCCACATCAGCAGACAATGATCTGCAAAGTTATTGCCACTGCACATCACCATTAATGCAGCCCATCACAGCATTTATTACGACAACACCTCTTCGTCGGAACAGGACCCCCTTACCCTGAACAAGGTAAATTACAACATAGACTTTCGGCAAGGAGGGCAGGTCGGAAGGGACAGCGAAATGATTACCAAAGGATATAAGCAAACGTTGAAAACGAGAAGAAGGTTATACTTTTTTATCTCTAATCTCTCCCTCTGCACTCTACTTCTCTTCCTAACTTGCTCGTCGGAGGGTTCATTGGGGGACTATCCAGTTCCCCGTTGAACTTGTTTGCAGGTTATCCGGTGAGCTTGATCATTTGAACGTGGGCTTGAGGAGCTTGGACCAGTCCGATTCATTCACTGGAACAAACTGTATCATTAAAATTTAATCCAAACAAAACTTTTTAACTTAGATTAAAATAATTAAAATTTTAAAAAACCAACCAATTTCTCAAATGAAACCTGTATGTTGTAGTTAAAAAAAATTCCCACCGTTAGGTTTTTCCGTAAAAGTCACTTTTAATCCTCCTATAAAAAATTGATAAGAAAATATATGTTTGTAAAGACCGGTCATGCATGGCCATACCTAGTTGATTTGGGGTATCTTAAAAAAGTGTATTTTTTATCTTTTTATAAAAAAATAAAAATGTGATGTGATAAAAAAAAAATAAAAAGATAAAAAAATGAATTATATATAATCTATGTTACTAGATAAGGTTGGGTAGGATCTGTCTTTAAGAGGGTAATTGTCTTATTTTATAAAAGAATTTATGTTGGTAATGTGCCCAATTAAAAGTAGGAAACCTAATAATTACATGGATATAAAAATCAAAGAATAATAGAAAAATAATAATACATTATTGGATAGATACATAATCACATCCTTAAAACTGAGGACACAATCTTGATAAAATCAGGAAGATTATTTGCTGGTCCTATTGCTTGAACTTATTTACTCGTAGGTTCTTAATAAATTTATTTTTGTATATTTGTTCATTGTTTTGATAATAAGAAAATTTTAAAACCTTTCAAATATGTTTTGAGTTCGTGGAATGATCATTTGATTTTGATAATGATATTATCAAAATAACAAATGATTCATATATTTTGATTTTCTTTGTGATTTTTTATTTATTTAATTTTTTTTATTAGGTATTGAAATATATGATGTAAGGAGTTTGAATATCAAATTAGACAAAGGAAATTTGACTAATATAGATAAAATTAAAAATAAATCAAAATTCACAAATAAAAATTAAAATATTTCAATCATTTATTATTTCTATAAATTTTCAATATCATTACCAGTACTAAATGTTCATTTCATAAACACAAAATACATTTAAAAAGTCTAAAAAAAAATTATTATCAAAACGAGGACTACATACGTAAAATAAAAAATAAAAAAAATTTGAACTTATTATTAAATAAGTCTAGTCAATAAGACCTATTGATAATTATTCTTATTACCAATTGGTTCTCTAAACCTACCACGAAATATATAATTTAACGATTTAAATTTAAAATTAAAATTAAATAACATTTAAATATTATATAAATAGAATTTTCATAAGAATTATTAAGACAAAATATCTCATAATTATAAAATGAAAAATACTAAAGGCTTACAATTTAGCAACAAGTAAAACTGCAACAATTATGTTTATATTCTTTGACCATTCTCATTTGTCATAATTGCATTGGTGAAATTGATTCTACCACTATTGTAGGTTACTAATATGTTGATGACATATTATATGATAAAATAAATGTGGTATATAAACATGTTCATTGTAACATCACCTGTAATGTAACAAATAAAAAATTGACAAGTGCGAATAAATTAAGGCAAGGCTTTCCTCTAGTCTACCACGGATCCCGTTTCGATGATTTGAACGGTTCATTTTATAAGTTTCTTTGTGTACATCTACCAAAAAAAAAAAAAGTTTAATATGATGATCGTAACATGTTCAATTTATAACAAATATGGCTAAAAAAATAGACGACAAGTATATTTATAAAAATAGACCATCTATGTTTTGGTGAGAAACGCGATAAATAAACACATTATGGTTATCGAATCGACATAATTTTATATAAATGATATACATGAAGAGCTCTATAAAATAAGCCCTACGGGCCTCGACCAAAGCCAAACACAATAAATTAAGCATCCTTGTTAGGTAGGGTTATTAAACGAATCAAATTATTTGAACTCAACTCATGTTCGCCTCATTAAATACTCGTTCAAGATTGACTCTTTATAAAAATAAATCAATCTTGAACACAATTTTAAACTCGTTAACTTTCAAGCTAAGCTTTATAAAAAATGAAATTACTCAGATTCAACTCGTTAAAAACTCATTAGAGATTAATTCGTTACATAAACAATCAAAACTGAAACTAAATTTTAAAGTTGAACAATATATTAAGAGGGTTGCCATTTGCCCCCACCATTTTTTACTTTGACCCCCCCACTTCTTTGAACCCCTCACCCAACAAAATGAAAATCCTCTATTTTTCTTTAAACCCCTACCTTAATACTAATTATACCCTTAATCCCAAACCCAAACCCAAACCCAAACCCAAACCCTAGCCCCCATTTCCAACCACCATCTTCGGTTCGCTTCTTCGGCCACTGTAGGTGGTTCTTTTCCCATCAGTCGGGGTGTCATTTCTGCAGAACAACAACCAAAATCATCAAATCAAACACATACACATACACATACACATATAGATTATATATATATATATATATATGAATTTGTATATATGGATGAAATTAGAGACTTTAGAATCAGGAGGAGTACCAGAGTGAGCTTGTGATAAGCTGTGCAAATGTCGAAAAAGGAGGCGTTCTTACGAATCCCGAGGATGGAGCAGTAACAAAATCCGTCAGATCCTCCTTCTCGATCCATGTCTGTCTTTTTCTTTTTTTTCAACAAGTCTCATTGTAACTGTTATATATGTACCATATAGATATAGATATAGATATAGATACAGAGAGAGAAAGAGAGAACCTGACGCGTGGAGGAAAGTTCACGTGGAGGAAGATGACCCATTTGCTTACCAGATTTGGATGGTGACCCAATCCTCCATCTTCGCCGTCACACAGAAATTAGGATTTAAAAGGGTTAGGTGTCGCAGTGGTGAGAGGTGGTGGGAGGGTGGTTTGATTTGCTAAAGAAGAAGAAGATGAAGAAGAAGAAGAAGAGAGAGAGAGAGAGGAGGCTGCCTGCCGACCGGAGTGAAGTGGAGGTGGATGGTTAGGGTTAGGATTGAAAGGACGGAGATGGATAAAAATGTAAATTGGTGTTAGGACAAAATTGTAATAATTTTTTTTTTTAAATGTAAAAATTCAAAGGAGAATAATAAGTGCTAATAGGAGCATTCTATATTAACTCCACTGGTTATATATCTATATTTTTTATTTGTTTTTTTAATCCTACATAAGCCCTGTTTGGTAGAGCTGTGGAAAAGTGCTTATAACTTGTGCTTATAGCTTATGCCTAAACAGTTTATAGCTTATAACTTTCAACTTAAGCTGATTTTCCGCTTATTCTTAAAGCATCTCATGCCCTACTCAAAGAATAAGCTGATTTCTGACTTCCACAAAGTTATAAGTTATAAGCTATAAGTTATAAGTTAAACCAAACACATCAAAATAACTTAAATTAAGCTGAAAACTGAAATAAGCTGTAAATAATTTCTGTCAAACTGGCACATACTCTCGAGGGATGAATTACCACAAAAGCCCATGTAGAGATGGGGTATTACGGCCTTGATCCGGTTCAACTTTGGCATATTCCGTTGCAAAACCCAACTCCACCTTATCTTCTTCTGCGAAGGCCTCTTCAGAAGGAGGGTTTGGTTTTGCTTTCTATATAAGCTCTTTCATATACCCATACATACACATACATACATATACAGATAGATACCTCTATGTCGGGTTATATATAATGTTGAATTTGATGTACAAATTCATTTTGTGAGTGAGAGGAAAATTAGTGATCAAAAATCATGAGAAAGCTTAGAGTAATCTGCTCCGACCCAGATGCAACTGATTGTTCTTCGGACGAAGAACATGGTGTGAGGGTAGATAAGAAGCGAATCATTCATCAAATTGATCTCGAGGATGTCGTTCCTTCTGAAGGAACAACGACCCAGAAAAACCCTCCCAAAAAAAAGAAGAGGGCTTCGATTCAATCTTCGAAATCGAATTCGAAGAGTCCTTACAAGGGGGTTCGGCAGAGGAAATGGGGGAAATGGGCTGCTGAGATTCGAGACCCCATTAACAAAATTCGCCTCTGGTTGGGCACTTTCAACACCGCCGAAAAGGCCTATGAAGTCTATCTCGCCAAGAAGATCGAGCTGGACGAGAAAAAAGCTAGGATTGCTGCGATTTCCAAGGGACTAAATGGTGTTGAACTGGTCGTGTCTCCTTCGTCTGTGCTTGCGAAAGATGGCCCTGTTTCGCCCAATGATGGTGGTACAGAGACAAGTGCGGATGCTGAAAGTGGTGGTCTTGGTTCGCAGATTATCGACAAAAATGGGTTTCTTTTGGGAGAATTTAGCAGCCTTGATGATATGCGAATTTCCGATGCCAACGGGTAAAACAACTGAGGCTCTTACAAACAAAAATAGTGATTTAAATTCTCTGAATTTAGAAGTTTTACGCTGCTTTTATCATCCTATGTTTTTTTCATTTTTATTTGATGTTGTGTTGGTGTTTGTAAATTTCTGTACTAGAATTTAGACTTCTAATTTCCGATGTACCAAAACAAAAAAAAAAAGAATTTAGACTTCTAGTTTTGTCAATGTACATTAGTGTTGTGTTTTATAAATAAATTTCCTTGCCTTTTACTGTTCAAGAACATGAACTGAAAGTGACTTCTTTGTTTCATTAGTGGTTTTTTTGACTTTGTTTGGTGATGTGATTGTTGATCGATTTATTATTATTATTTTTTTATCATAGTGTGCAGAGGGCCCTTATAAAAGCCCCCAATTGTGTTTCCTTTCAGCAAAACAAAGCATTGATGCCTGGGTTCAGCAAATCAAATGCATACCTCAGTAGCACTCAATTATATTATTATTATTATTTTTTTTTCTCTGAAAAAATGAGAACCCAACATTTTTATCCTCAGGCACTTGGTAAGAGCATCTCCCAAAGCCAAATTTTTGTGTGCAAATTGCTGCAGAAAGTATTTTCTGGTTATTTCTTGATGTCTTGTGCCACTCTTTTCTTATGTTTGATTCTCTCTCACACACACACAAGCATTGCTTATACCTTGATTGAAGTTCTGTTAGGTTCATAGTGTCACTTGCATATTCATAGCACCTTCTCATTTCAGCCAACGATCCAATCCAACCCTATGACACCACATGTTAGCGTCATGAGATGGCACTCGGGACAATAATATATCTCCAAATGTACCTAGTATCTCTTTCTTAATGTGTGAAATGCCTAAGGCTTGACAAGCCTAGTTTGCTAGTCCTCCTTTATCTGTTGTTGATCCTTGTTGGTCCCCCCTCCCCTGTTGGTATGTAAAGGTTAATTTTGACTGTTGTGGGGATTGTTGTTAGGGATTATGAGCAGTAGATGCTATTGCTTCTTGTGTTGATAATCATGAGCGAGTCTCTGATGTGAATCATGTAAGGGTGAGTCTCTTTTTTATTATTAATGCTGTGAATACTAATTCTGTGGATTTGTCCAGTGCTTTGAATCTTATTTCTGTGGATTTGTCCAGTGTTGGGAATTTTATTGATGTATTTTGTCTTCAAATCATTTGCATTCGAAATGTGGTTTGCCTAATTGCTTTACTCTAGAAGTTTAACCATTTGATTCCTCAAAACCTTTTTTTGGAACATCTTTTTTTTTTTAATTTTATTTTGGAACATTTTTTGATAAAATCAAATGACTGAAATTGTCAAATAGTTCTATATATATGATCTCTACAATGAGGCTTTCAGAATAGTAGTCTTGCATTTTACAAAATATTATGTTGCATTGCTAAAGGTACCCACAACAAATGATTGCACAAACTATGTAGCATAGTCATGTTGGGTAGAGTCTTGGTAGTGACACTCAAATTTTTATGTTTCTATTTTATTTTATTTTCTTTTCAGAAATCAGAACCTACCATCTTAATAGAATTTGCCTAGATGGTTACTCTTAAAAAAAACTCAATTTTGATTTGAAAGAATTTTACCCATTAGATCCATCAAACGTTTTTTAAGAACTTCACAGTGAACTGAACTATCCTCCTTTCTTACATTTCCCTAGTTGATTTTTGTAGTTGCTCTTATGGATTTACATCAAATAGCTAATGGAGACCAAGAATTTTCTGTACCCAAATCTCTCTGTTACTCTATCTCAATGCATTCTTAGCTGCACAATTGTACCTTAAGATTTTCACTTTTTAGTGTGACTGAGAATACATCAGAATAAATTTGAGTTCAGAGAATCTTGTGCCATAAGCACAACTATTAAACAAAAGTAAATATTTGATTGTTTTACATTTGAAAAGAGTCATACAGTATTTTCAATAATTTTTAAATAGGGTATAAATTATTTAGTACTTGAGAACAAAATGGGCCCCAACTAATTGAAGCAGCTTGCAGAAGACATGATTATGTTCTCACAGAAATCCCTTGTCTTGAAAACTTTTGATGCAGTCATCAAACATTTGATCGATTGTCTTTAAAGGAGGGAGGCCCAACTTAATAATCTTGTTACGATTCATGCTGTGTGGGTTGTTATCTCCTTTTTGGCTACTACACCTACACACGAGTAGCAAACAATTACAAGTACCGTAGTGTAATGTCGTGTTTGAATTTTTAAATTTATAGAAAAATTTGCATAGAGAAAATAAGGAAAGAGAAAAGCGAATAAAGTGGAAACTAAATTTTTCTCTATTCATGTACCTAAAAGGTTTCATTTGTCCCTTTCTTTTTCCTTTCCCTTCATAAATTCTTACACATTCAATAACATTAGGATGATCATGTTTCTTGCAACATTATCATCTCATGTGTCACAATTATTGTAGAAACAGATATGAGTGCAGAAACCCACTTAACCAATGCAGTTATGGCTCAAAAGATAGTAAACAAAATGTGATCATCATGACATTAATATTGATATGAGAGCCAAATTCGAAGGTGTGAAAATAGAAAATAAAAAACACAATGTCTCACTTGTTGTCAAAAGGGTAGGTTGGATATTTGGACCTAAGCATGTCAATGATATCTGACCAATGAGCTACTGAGCTAGAACATATAAGCCTGCCTGATGCTTCGCTATCCTCCATTGCCAAGATATGTGCAGCAATGACATCATCTATGTGCACAAACCCTATTGTTGTATTTTGGTATTCTCCTCTCAAACCTGATCAAAATTTGCACATGTATCAAGGAAAACAGCATTAAGACGGGCTTGTGTCTGTTTGGGCTAGATGTTTGATTCTTGCTGCTAAATTTAACAGCTGGTTCAGCATGGTTAGGAAATCCATTTAATAATAAAAGAAATGCCAAAGACACCAACCCAATTGCAAATATTCATAGAAGGAAAAGTTCAAAGAACTCAAAACTAGACACAATTCTCATATATACATAATTCTGTTATATGACGTGAGTCTCACCTTTTTGTGAGTCATATGTGAAAGGGCTGTGTTTGGTTCTATGATTGGTTTTTGTGCAAGTAGAAAAACTGTTCATATAAGATGCAAGCCATCTGCTTTGTGTGTTTGGTGTTTGGTGGTTGAGTTCATGTCCCTAGCTTTAGTGTAATAAGTATAACTTAATTTGATTTTACCGCGAGGACGAATCCTTTATCTAGATTATCCTCTATCTGCCTATTGCAAGCTATATTTGTAGTACATGTCTCTCTAACCTGATTGGTGGAGAGGGGCATTAGGATAGGAGGACAAATAGATTCAAATAGACGATCTAATGTGTAAAATGTTGTGAATAAAGGGATAGAATGTTACATTTGGATGTATGTGATCTTGATTAAGCACGTTGTTCTGTCAAAAACTCATATTATCATAGGTAAGTAATGTGTGTTACCTTTAACAATGGTCAATATCAGTTGAGTGTACTTGTTGGCTGTGGAGCAAGTAAGGGACCAACTACAAGAGAAGGGTTCACCACCACTAGATCAATCCCACTTTCCTCTGCCTCTCACCATGCCTCTTTCTTTGCTATAGTTTTTGCATACGCATACCACAGCTACATCCAAGCAAGAAATTTATAAAACAGTATCAGTATAAAAAAAAAAATTGTTGTTGACGCTCTATTTGTTTCTGCAGCATACGTTTTCTGTCAAAACAAATGGAGTGTGAGTGTGTGTGTGTGCACACGTGCAAATGTGTGGTACATTTTAATTGGTAATAGATAAGTAGGTTGGAGTGTTGTTTACATTGTAGCGTTTACAGTAGTACTCCAGTTCACTCCAGTGAGACTCATTAAGAGGAGAAACTTGCTGGACATCATAGCGGTACCTTATTGCAGAGCAAGAAGAGGTGAGCACAACCCTCCTCACACTGCTTGCTTTTGTGCACGAGCTCAGGACATTCAGGGTGTCTTCTATACTTGGATCAATCTATGTTTCCTGCAATATGATAACAAAAACATATAAATCAAATTTCGAATGTCATGAAATATTTTACAAGTTACAACAAATTTGCTCTCATGCTTGCATTGGTATTTGACAAGAAGTTCATCTACCCATTCTTACACAATTGCTGCACTAAAGCTAAGCATTTCTCAATCAGGATTACTATCATTTTTTTTTTTGTGCTCGTTGAAAAAGGGCAGAAGGGGGCGACAAATATGTGACAACCCTCCCCAGTTGTGGTCATAGGAACCCTTACTCATTTGGGAGCTCGACAAGAGAGGTCTAGATGCTCTCAAATGCAATAGTTTGTTGGCTATATGCAGGCACTCCCTCAAGATGAGCTGAGCTGTAACTTGACCTCATTTTTTATTTTTGGCTTTGGTTTTGTAGCTCATTGAGAAATGGTAGAAGAGGCAATCAATGCATGGAAACCTTAATTGGAGAGTCAGATGGAAGGGACCTAGACAGGTCCGCAAACAATAGACCCCAGGAAAAGAACCAATCACATAAGAGAGTAATGTTCACTCCCCAGGTAGGTGAATAAAATCAGAGACTACCGCAAAACTATTAGTGCTATTCTTATGTTTGGTCACCAGCATAAGGCAGGCATTTAGGCAATTTTTTTAGCATAAAATACTTGATCAATATTCCATAAACATGAGTGTCTGAGTTAGGGGTTTTTTAAGATAACTTTGCCTGATCATTATGATCATATGAAATGAGTAAAGGAGCTGCAGTATGGAAGACCCCATCAACACCCTCTATTGCCTTGTCGAAGCTTCCTTCCACCATTAGACCAGCTTTGAAAATCTTGAGTCTCTCCTTTGCTCCACTCAGCTCCCAAAGGAAGCCTACCTTTTCCACATTTTCTGTCAATAAAAGAAATAGGCATTTGAGTTGTTGTAGTTGCAGAGCTAAGGTACATATTATATTTCTATTGGGAAACCATAGCAAATTCTCTCTTTTCTTGAGTTAAAATTCAGTACAGGAGTAAAACTAGCAACCATCATCAACATATAGGTCATGTTTGTTTTAGTTCATAGATTATGGGATTGGATTGTAATCATGTGAGCCCACAAAAATATGTTTGGTTGAGAAAAATGTCACCACTGCCACCACATTTTCGGCCACTGTTCTGGCCCCGGCACCTTCTCCGACAACTTTTCCGGTGCCTGCGGCAGTCTAGCGGTGATCTTGCAACAGTGGTTAAAAAAAAAGGAAAAACCATTTGAACAATAGTTTGTCCTTCTCATCAAACAATTTTATTAATCATGTCATTATCTCCATAATTTATCAATCCCTGGTCCTAACATTATACCTACCATAGAAATAAACTTATCACCAATAAATCAAAAAAATATTCCAACCCTAAATTGGTTCGGTTTGATATTATAATATGGGGTCATGCTATGGTACACACCCTTCAAAAGGTGTGTATCATATGCATTTTATTATGTATTTTTAAAGTAAATATTACATATTCAAGTATATTCACAAAATCATATAAGTTTTCATGAGTGTACTTCTCACACTTCTTTCATTGAGCTCGTCACCCTTCGTACTCCTATCTCCATGCATTAACTCTTCTTGAGAAAAACACACTGAAGACCAAGGCTTATTGACCCAATTTTCTAATTTCAGTTGATTTGTGTTGGTGTAATTACCAAAAATAAATAAATAATGTAGTCAAAAATTTTCGAGAACATGAAAGACAATTATATTAGAAAAGAGGAAACTTGAATTGCAAAGTTCGAGAGAACATAAAAAGTTAAAACAGAGTATTGATGTAAATACTGAGAATAAATAAATCAAATAGAAATGAGGTAATTTAAAGAGCCATAGTTTGGGTATGGAGTTGGGTTATCTTCAGATTACAAGTTCAGCTAATGTTATCCCCTGAAAGAGAGAGTCAATTTCATAATAATTGTGTGAGTGAATTTCCGATCACACTGCCAACTCAGTATTCAGCTAGAGAGCACTGACAGAATAGATGGCACCTGTCTGACCTGCAACAGAAAGAAAAGATTCCGGCAGTAGTTTGTCCACCCGGGGGGCACTCCGACAATCAAGTCAGTATATCTCTCAAAGATAATCAATAGTGCTAAACTCACTGCTCGGAATATAAATTGCGTGCCTTAGACCCATCGGGGATGCCTTTCTTTTATAGTTAACTCAATCCTAGTTCCCATAGAAACTTAGCTTCAATGGACTTCTGCTTAGTACTTATCTTGAACTCTTCAAGAGATAAAGATAAACTCCCTAAGAGTGTTATCCTTATCCACGCTAAAGTCCTTCCTCATTCTAGGACTCTTGTGCCTTATTCGCTTATCTCGGATTCCGATATCTTCGGAGATAACCTCGGCCTACCGAGATCACCTTGGCGTCATGACCAGGATACGTGGCACCTCAGCTGACACGTCGGCGTCACCTTGGCCACGTGTTGGTACTCATAAATTATATCTCCACAACTGCCCCCTAGGTTCTATTACCTCGGTATTCTGAGGTGATGGAACCTATACCAGAACTTCCTGTCAATACATCGGTTTAAAGTCTCTCAGCCGAGATCATTATATAGGCCGACATGTCTCTTTAAGGTTTAAAGATTCCAAGATCTCCTTCACGTGTATGATTTGTCATGCAAAATAACTCAACCGTTTCAGCCACGCGTCTTCCTTTTACTGGATCGTACTCCGTACGCGCTTGTAATTCGAATTCTACTTGTGTGCACCGTCTGACAGATCCGTCGTTCTAGGTTCATTAATTCTGTTTTGCCGCCGTTTCAAGTTTTAACAAAATTCTTTCCCCCTTTCCTTATTTTTTCATTTTTCTCCATCGTTTCTGAGGCTTTCTCTCTCTCTAGCTTTTTCTTTCAAATCCTCCATTGTTCAAGCTTCTAGAGCTCTGCGACTTGCACTGTCCACCTTCTCCGGCGAGGTTCTTGCTAATCTTTTCTGCAACTGCCATTCGTCTAACTTCGGCGAACTCAACACCGGCTTCTTTTCTTCGATGAGTTTACTATTTCTCCTAATTTCAGTTTTTGATGCTCTTCATTATTCGTTGCCTTTACTGCTTTGTTCAAACATTCGATTTGTGAATCATATATCTGAATGTGATTATTTTACGACTTTGCTCTTACTCACGTCTTGAATATACGTACTGCTCACAATTTTTCTGCACTTTTGCTACTGTTCTTGGCCTGTTACACATGTCTTGTGTTTCTTGATGATCCTTCACTGTTCTTGACTCTGAATCATATTTCCTGTTTCTGTTTTCCAGATTCGTGCCTCCAATCTTCATCCCCATAGTTTTAGGTTTGGGACTTGTTTGTAGAAAAAAAACTAAAACGATTCCCCACAGATTCTGTGTATTCTTAGGCTTTAGCCGAGGTTCCTAAAACCCTCCAAAAACTCCTTCCTTCTGAAATCCAACTCTTCTAAGTGATGCCGACGTTATGGGTATATGGAAGCATAGGGTAGACACCTTGACCAAGTTAGATCATTTTAGGCGTGAGTTTGACATCCCGGCCGACGTCCATCTGAGGTTGGCTGGGGAGGATGACTCTATCATGCCCACAGCTGATTCCATGCCCCTTCTTGTTGTAGCTTTCATCGAGTGCGGACTTCGGCTCCCACTCAATATCCTTTTTCGTGAGATCATTCATTATTATAAGTTGAACCCAATGCAGCTTGCCATCAACTCCTACTGAGTCATTAACGGCATCATAGCCTTAGCCAAACAAGAAAACGCTAGGATTACCTTAGTTGATATCTAATACTGCTACACCATATGTGGCCTCAAAAAAGATACGGGCTACGTTTACTACCTTAAGCCGAGGTCCACAGAGTACAAAATTGTCGCCGACCTCCCTGACTCCAATAAGGGAGCTGGGGATGACTATTTCATTACCTCGGGGAATTGGAGTTCGCTCCAGACGAGGACCTCCATCTCTACCCTCTTCCTCGATCAGTTTTTGTAGAGGGCAATGGTAAGAGCCCTGTGTTCATACTAACTTGTTTTTAAAGTATTAAATACTTTATTTGTTTCTAATGTCTGCTTTTCTTGCAGCTCTCCCTCAGCCACCAAAGGGCTTCCGTCAGTCTTTCTTTCCCAGCAAAGACTTGAGGAAACTTTTGGATCTGCCAGTCCACAAACGGAAGGCCCCTATTCTACTTAACTTCATTCCTACGTACAAGTCAGCTCTTTCCGACGTCCCCAAGAAAAAGAAGAAGAAGAGTCTGTCTCCTCATTCCGCCACAACTCCACAAGCTGCCTCCACATCTCGGCAAGATCAAGGATCGACTTCTGATCAAGCCGAGCAGCCGTCAACCTCGGCGACGAACTGTTTTTCCCGTCGGGATGGGTTGCCAGAAAGCAATTGCCAAAGATCTCTTGGCCAGCATCCCATCAACCATTGACGCTTCACCAGTGCAATCTCAGCTCCCTGCGAAGCTGAAAAGAATAAAGAAGGCTCAGCCAAAAGCAAAGGTGACTCAGGTTGACACTGAAGATACTTTGCCAATTTCGAAATTGGCTAAGAGTGAGAAGACCACATCTGCTGCCGAAAAGAGGTCTGCCGAGGCCCAACCATCCGAGTCTATCCGATCAAAGAGGCCGAGGCCATCTGCTACAACCACCTCGGGGTCTCGAAAGCATGATTCCCCCTGGGCCTCCTAAATCACTCTGGAAGATAAGCCAGTTATGGCCAGCGATAGCGCCGATGATATTAATGTTGACGTTGCCCATAGCACCGCTCTGCTTCTTCCCAGCGATCTCGACAGAAACACCGAGTTGGGTGAATATGAGAACTATGCTCTGATGCTTTAGTGCTCCGTTCAAGTAAGTGTCTTTATTCGGTCGTTTTTCTTTCTTTCTTTTTTATACTTTAGAAAATTTTTAAATAACTTATGCTCTGTTTTATTTTTTCTCAAGCGATCCAGCATGCTCATTCTTTCTTAGTACAATCTTTCGAGAACCGGGAGAAGCTGGCCGATAAGAAGAGGGAGGTCTCCAGTCTTCATAAGACTAATAAAAACTTATAATCCAAGATGAAGACCTTGGAGGATCAAGTCGAGGCTGCTATTAAAGCTAAGGATATAGCCGAAGAAAAGGCGGAGTCCGTTGAGGCCATCAAGAAGGTCCTTGAGGCCAAAAAGAATGAGGCCGAGGAGAAAACGGCCTAGGCCCAAAAAGAATTGCAAGAGGCCTTGGCCACGAAGGACGTCGAGCTCAAGACAGCTGATGAGAAGGGCTATAATGAAGGGTGGCGATGTCACGGCGGACTATGAAAAACAAGTGAAGTAGGCATGCAACAAGGGTTTCACCCTTGGTTGGATATCTCTTCTAAAAAAGCTTGAAGTCCCCAAGGACTCGCCCCTCAGGAACACCGACGTCATTCCTCTTCCATTCCCTCAAACTCCAAGTCAATCCGACGACGAATCTGAGTCTGAGGAGGAGACCTTGGTGAGAAATCAAAGGAGGCTGCTGGGACCAAGTCCCCTTCTCTGAATGGGAAGTCCTGGACTTGATTCAAGATGAGGAGGGTGAGGAGGTTCCCAAAGATGCTACAGCTAAGAAGGCATCAGCCGACGTGATTCTTGCCTACAAGAGCCTTGATGAAACCCTTCAAGAAATTGATGCCGAACTTGTGGCGGAAAAGGCTGCCGAGGTGTTTTCCCAGTAGTCGTTCGAACTTCAGACCCAACCATCTGTTGTTGCCGAAGAGTCTTTACTTTGATGTGTTTTTCCTTTGTATAGTGTACTTTTGTTCTTCTCTTTTTTTTGGAACAATTAGTAAGTTTTGGCCGACGTGCCTTCTTTTAAATGTTAATACAACTTTCCTTCTCTGAATGCTTGTATCTTTGTCTTCTCTTTACTGCTTCTGCATGATTCTATACTTAGAATGTTTTGCATATCTTTAATATATACTTCAATCCTTGTGCAACCTTCTCGGGGTGACACACCTCGGTTATAAAAACTGATGATTTACCTCGGCAAGTACAAAAGTATCTTTCTTGGCATAACCTTGGTTTCACCTTTGTAAATTTTTTCATGAAATTTCAACAGATGATTAACCTTAGTCTTCAACTTGTAAACTTTTCTCAAGTTTTAACAAGTGTTAAACATAATCTCGGTTTGACTTCAACTTGTAAACTTTTCTCAAGTTTTAACAAGCGTTAAACATAATCTCGGTTTGACTTCAACTTGTAAACTTTTCTCAAGTTTTAACAAGCGTTAAACATAATCTCGGTTTGACTTCAACTTGTAAACTTTTCTCAAGTTTTAACAAGCGTTAAACATAATCTCGGTTTGACTTCAACTTGTAAACTTTTCTCAAGTTTTAACAAGCGTTAAACATAATCTCGGTTTGACTTCAACTTGTAAACTTTTCTCAAGTTTTAACAAGCGTTAAACATAATCTCGGTTTGACTTCAACTTGTAAACTTTTCTCAAGTTTTAACAAGCGATTATATTTCTATTGGGAAACCATAGCAAATTCTCTCTTTTCTTCAGTTAAAATTGAGTACAGGAGTAAAACTAGTAACCATCATCACCATATAGGTCATGTTTGTTTTAGTTCATAGATTATGGGATTGGATTGTAATCATGTGAGCCCACAAAAATATGTTTGGTTGAGAAAAATGTCACCACTGCCACCACATTTTCGGCCACTGTTCTGGCTCCGGCACCTTCTCCGACAACTTTTTCGGTGCCTGCGGCAGTCCAGCGGTGATCTTGCAACAGTGGTTAAAAAAAGAGGAAAAACCATTTGAACAATAGTTTGTCCTTCTCATCAAACAATTTTATTAATCATGTCATTATCTCCATAATTTATCAATCCCTGGTCCTAACATTATACCTACCATAGAAATAAACTTATCACCAATAAATCAAAAAAATATTCCAACCCTAAATTGGTTCGGTTTGATATTATAATAAGGGGTCATGCTATGGTACACACCATTCAAAAGGTGTGTATCATATGCACTTTATTATGTATTTTTAAAGTAAATATTACATATTCAAGTATATTCACAAAATCATATAAGTTTTCATGAGCTTCCCACAATGTACTTCTCACACTTCTTTCATTGAGCTAGTCACCCTTCGAACTCCTATCTCCATGCATTAACTCTTCTTGCGAAAAGCACACTGAAGACCAAGGCTTATTGACCCAATTTTCTAATTTCAGTTGATTTGTGTTGGTGTAATTACCAAAAATAAATAAATAATGTAGTAAAAAATTTTCGAGAACATGAAAGACAATTATATTAGAAAAGAGGAAACTTGAATTGCAAAGTTTGAGAGAACATAAAAAGTTAAAACAGAGTATTGATGTAAATACTGAGAATAAATAAATCAAATAGAAATGAGGCAATTTAAAGAGCCATAGTTTGGGTATGGAGTTGGGTTATCTTCAGATTACAAGTTTAGCTAATGTTATCCCCTGAAAGAGAGAGTCAATTTCATAATAATTGTGTGAGTGAATTTCCAATTACACTGCCAACTCAGTATTCAGCTAGAGAGCACTGACAGAATAGATGGCACCTGTCTGACCTGCAACAGAAAGAGAAGATTCCGGCGGTGGTTTGTCCACCCGGGGGGCACTCCGACGATCAAGTCAGTATATCTCTCAAAGATAATCAATAGTGCTAAACTCACTGTTCGGAATATAAATTGCGTACCTTAGACCCATCGGGGGTGCCTTTCTTTTATAGTTAACTCAATCCTAGTCCCCATAAAAGCCTAGCTTCAATGGACTTCTACTTAGTATTTATCCTAGACTCTTCAAGAGATAAAGATAAACTCCCTAAGAGTGTTATCCTTATCCACGCTAAAGTACTTCCTCATTCTAGGACTCTTGTGCCTTATCCGCTTATCTCGGATTCCAATATCTTTAGAGATAACCTCGGCCTAACCGAGATCACCTCGGCGTCATGACTAGGATACGTGGCACCTCGGTTGACACGTCGGCGTCACCTTGGCCACGTGTTGGTACTCAGAAATTATATCCCCACAACTGCCCATAGGTTCTATTACCTCGCATTCTGAGGTGATGGAACCTATACCAAAACTTCCTGTCAATACATCGGTTTAAAGTCTCTCAGCCGAGATCATTATATAGGCCGACATGCCTCTTTAAGGTTTAAAGATTCCAAGATCTCCTTCACGCGTATGATCTGTCATGCAAAATAACTCAACCGTTTCAGCCACGCGTTTTCCTTTTACTAGATCGTACTTCGTACGCGCTTGTAATTTGAATTCTGCTTGTGTGCGCCATCTGACAGATCCGTCGTTCTAGGTTC